CTCAGGTAATCCTTATTACACCGGTACTTTCTAGAACATGGAGCTCCTATGAGTGGCTTTGGGACCTCCTCACCTTCTGTCCTTCAGCAGAGCAAACCCACTAGGGCCTGGCTTCGGGCCAGCAGACATCCAGGGACAGGGCAGGGTAGAGGGACAGCCCTGCCCGTGTTAGCTGGGTAACTCTGTTCTTTCTTCCAGCTGCCCCGCCCCTATGGCCGCCCGAGGAGCTGGCTGCAGGTAGAGCTGGAGGGAGGGGCTTTGTGGTGGTGAGTTGGCGTGGGGGTGGGTGGGGGAGTGCTGTGCAGTGTCTGCTGTGTCCCCTTTCCTGACACCTGGTGCCTCCCTGGATGCTGCCCTCTCTGAGCTGGCATTCGCTCACTCACAGTTTTGCCACATACTAACTGAGATGGGCCCCGAAGCAGCCCTTTGCTGCCTGCTTCTCGCTGGATGCCCTGAGCTGGCAAGGGCTGGTGGTAGTTTGGGCTCTGTGGCAGGAAACTTGTGGGTCAGGGCAGAGCATGGCTTTGTCTAGGCCACACCAGTGACTGTAGAGCCAGTGCCTGCCCCCGTTTCCTCCCCCAACCCCCGGCCCATGTGGCTCCCAGGAAGAGCAACCCAGGCTGGTGTGAGTGACTCTCCCGATCTGCTGAGCCAGTGGGGGCTGGGGGCCGGCAGCCCCTGCGGCCCATGTGGGAGGATCCTGGGGCTGCCATCAACCCCAGCAGGGCAGGGCCTGCAGCCAGGAGGGGCAGGAACAGCCCTGAGACCCAGGGCCGCTTTCCCGATGGCCCTCAGGCCTCTGGCGGCCTCATCTGTGTCCCGTTCTCTCCCAGTTGGCTGCCTAGATTGCCTGTCCCTCTCACTGCCCTCCTGGCGTCTCCAGCGCCCCGGTCTGGCTTCAGTACCGCACGCACAGGGCAGGCGCACCCTCAGGTGCCTCCCGAGCGTGTACTTACAACTCCATTCGTGACAAACCCGCCATAGACGTCTCAAGGGGCCCCCGCCGTGTGAGAATCACCCCCACTGGAACCCCTGGCCTATAGAAATTCAGCTGTGTGCATGCACTGGGCTTGGGGCCACTCCCCCTTCCACGCTCCCACTGCACCGGTCACCAGCACCCCACCGGCTCAGGGGGAGCCCCCTCACTCGCCCTGTGGGCTGCTACCTTGCTCAGCTCCCCTCATGCGTTAGCTCCTACTCTAGGGACAGCCTGGATCCCAGAAGGCTTTGGTCTTGATCAGTCCGTGGAGCCCAGGCCAGTGGGTGGCTCCAGCTTCCCCTGTAGTCCCAGCGCCCCTGGTGGGGGATGGCCTGTGGAAGTCCTGCAGTTGAGCCCTGCTTCCTGTGGGACCAGCCTGGCCAGCGTTCCCTGGGTGGAGCAGGTATTATTGGGCACCCAGACCATTGACTACACTTCATTGACCAGCCCTGGGACCTCCCACCATGTTTCCTTTCATGGCTAGGGACAGAGGATGGAGGGAGGCCTGGACCTGGGGGATGTGTAGGCACCGGGTGGGCGGGGCGGGTGGGCGGGGCTTCCCTCCCCCTTCAGCAGGCCTGAGAGGTTGGTGCGTCAGTGGTGTGGGATTAGCAGGGAATGGGCTGAGCGCTCGCCAGCTCCCCAGCCCGGTCACTCCCCAGAGTGGTCACCGGGCCTTGGACACTGTCTGGCCTACTCCACAGCAGGGCAGCGGTGTTGCCAGTGGTTGCTGCACAAGGCCCTGGCTCATGTGGCATTTCCTGCCCTAGCTCTCACCTCTCCCATGGTAGAACTAGGCTCCCGCCTCCCAACCTTGCTGAATGGTACCTGGTTCTCTGGGTCAGGTACTCAGTGCTTAATGTCCCCCTTCCCGCCCCCACCCCCCACCCCCAGGGCTTTCAGGCAGAAGATGAGTCCAGAGTTGCTGGGTGGCCTCACAGAGGGTCTTGATCTGTTGGCATTGCCTAAACGAATCTGGGGGCTCTGGGCCTGCTGGTCTGAGTATCTCCTGTGGGCAGGCTGCCGGGTGGGGCACTCGGCAACTTCCTTTCACAGTGCCCGTGCTCTGCCCCGCCCCGGGGTGGGGGTGGGGCGCTCTGGAAGGCCCCATGAGCACAGGATGGCTGCTGCAGATGGCATGTTTGAGGAGATGATAGACGGGGCATGAGTGGACCCCCAGCAGAGCCCAGGAAGGTGCCAGCCAACCACCTTCCTGTTGCCCAGGCTGGGAGGGCTGTAGCCCTCGTGTCTCCATGTCTCCCCTTTTGTGTATGTGGTACTGAGGAATCGAACCCAGGGCTTCATGCATGCTGGGCAAGCACTCCACCGCTAAGCCACATTCCCAGCGTCTGTGTCCCCCGTGTCAGCGCTGGCCAGTTTATCCCAGGGTTGCTTCCAGTGAGCCCTCGAGGCTCTGCAGGGAAGGGATGGACTGGCCGCTCCTGCTACTGAGGAGCCTGGCCAGCACCCAACAGCTGGAGGTCGTGCAGCAAGCGCAGGCGCCCAGCAGGCAGCCCATGATGCGGGCCCTGGGCAGAGGCCTGCGCCGACCTCCACCCCGGGGCCTTGGTGGAATAGGGGCCCTGAAGCCAGTCGAGTCTCCTTGCTCCCTGTCCCAAACTCTCTCAGGCGGACACTGGACAGCCCCACATGCCTGGGCCGAAGGCTCCTAATGAGTGTTAGGGGGGCTACAGCTGGAAGGGCTTCGGAAGTCCTAGGTCAGCCCTGAGCGGGCTCACAGCTGGGCTGTCTGAGAGGGAGCTGTCTGAGGAAGAGCCAGGGCTAGGGGGTGGGGTGGGAAGAGGTTCTGGGAAGGGGGCGGGGGGGGGGGGGGGTGGGAAGGGCTCCTGGGAAGGGGGCGGGGGGTGGGAAGGGCTCCTGGGAAGGGGGCGGGCTATAATGTGGAAGAGTACCCTTCTTATGGCTGCGTCAGGCACAGCCTCAAAGGTGATTTCAGCTCCCGCTTCCCCTCTGTGATGGACACCTAGGGATCTTACTCTGCCCAGGGCGCAACATGGCAAGTAGCAGGATTTTTAATTTGGACTTAAGTGCAATAATGGTTGCTCATTTGATGTGTCATTAGTCACATCGCCCCTTAATGGGATCTGTGCATTTTTCCTGCCTGGCCCTGTGGCTTGCTAATAAAGTTCTGTGAACATGCACATATTTATAGATGCTTACCAGAGGCAGGATGGGAGTTGGCATGCCACTAATGAAAACAGCCCCGCCCCCAGGACGCACGCCTCTCCCCCCCCCCCCCCCCCCCCCCAATGTTATCCGGCAAGGGCAGAGACGGAGGCACACACCAGTGCCCTGTTGTTCCCCACAGCGGCCAAGGGGCTCCTCAGGAGTGCATGCGGGTGTGGACGGGGCAGCCTGGCCTGGGTCCCGCGGGTGGCGGGAGCGAGCCTGGCTGCCATGGATGGTTGTGGCTGTGCCCAGCACCTCCTCTTCTCATCTTCCCTCTGGCAGCCTTGGCGAGGGGGTGGGGCCACTCCCTCAGGACGCAGGCGTGCCCTGCTGGATTTGGGACCAGCTCTCTGCAGGAGACTTGTAGCCAAGAGATGAGTGGGAGTTTTGCCTTCGAGTGGGGCCTGGGGGTGTGTCTCACAGATCTGGTTGCTACCAGGAACAGAACCAGAGAGTGCTGGGCAAGAAGTGGGGGACAGGGTCCCCTGTGCCAGGGAGGAGTGCTTTGCCCAGATGGAGGGTACCTCTTTCCTTCCTCACCCCTGGGGACGCTCAGTGGCTAGAAAGGCTCGACATTCTGTGGCCTTTAACCCTTCTGTGTGATGCAGGTAGGACACAAGGTCCTGCCTGATGCCCAAAGCCCCCAGACCTCACTGAGAGCAGGGGGCAGCTTCCGCTGCTTCCTCCTCTTGTCCCACCCAGGGCTTCCCGGGGCTCAGGAAACAGCTCCCTACCCAGCGCCTGTGAGCCAGCAGAGCCCACCGAGCTCATGTCAGCCCCGGAGGCTTCCGGGGGGCTGGCTGTGACAGGTGTCTGGTTGGGGGGTGAGCCTGTCCCAGCTCACCTACCCCTTGGTTCCTGGGGCGACCTGTCTCAGCTTGAACTCCTAACTGCACCTGCAGAAGGCCACGGTCCAGCCTGTGGGGGGGGGGGGGGGGGAGAGGGGAGGAGGGTTGGGCATGGTGGGGGGGCCGGCCGGGTCTGTGTGGATCTCTCCCAGGCTGGGTGAGGGGGGCTGCTGAATTGGGGGAGGGTCCCCTCACAGGGCTGCTGGCCAGCCGGCCTCTCCTGGCTGGGTTTGTGGGGGAACTGCACAGCTTGCTGATGCGCGGCCGTTCCATTCCGCTGCGTGTTACCTGCCCCAGGGCTGGCTCCCTCTCTGCTCCTTTGAAGTAGACGAGTGTTGGGCAGGAAAGTCTCAGTGTGAGACAAGGCTGCCAGCCTGTGCCAGCCTCTCCCGCCCCCCAGCACCTGGGCCTGGGGAATCCTGGAATCCGGAACCTGTTCCAGCTCTGGTCCCTGCTCCCAGCCTCCCTCCCGAGGGCTTTGCTTTGTCCTTGGGAACCTCCTAAGGCCAGCATTGACTTGGCCTCCCTCCCCCTGCCCCTTCCCCCCTTGCTCCCTCCCTCCCTTTTTTCCTCTCTCCCACTAACACTGGTTCCTGGACAAAACCAGGAGCTGGCGTGGGGCGCTCCCTGGCCAGTGGTGGTGGTGGCTGGAGCACTGTGCCAGGTTCCTCCACCGAAGGAGGTGGAGGCCTGGCTGGTGGACAGGGCTCAAGGGCCGGAGAGGATGTCTCCCCAGGGACTGGTGAGGGGTGGGTGCTGGAGTAGAGGTCCCCCCCCCCGCCCCCCTCTCCCCGCCATGGGCAGTGAGCGGCAGTGCCTGGTGCGTGTGCGGACCCTGCAGCTGGGCAGCTGGTGTGCCGTGAGGAGGGCGGGAGGGGAGGGCTGTGTCTAGCGTGCCAGGGTCTGGCCAGGGCACACCTCCCCCCCCCCCCCCCCCCCGCCACTGGACTAATGGTCTGACCCCCTCTCTCTTTTCACTCTAGCAGGTGGGTTCTGGAGAGTTCCGTACTCTGCGGAAGGGCTTCTCCCCATACCACTCCGAGTCCCAGCTTGCATCGCTGCCGCCCTCCTACCAGGATGTCCCCCAGAACGTAAGCGCCCCTCCCCCCTCCCGCCCCACGCCCCAGACGTGCTGGCCCAGCGTCTCAGAGCCTTTGCTCCCATCTCCAGCCCGCCATGGCTGGCCTGTGGCTAAGACCAGGCTCATCTAGCGGCCGCTGTGGCCAGGGCAGCTCCTGGCAGTGTCAGGGCTTGGGCCCTCAGTGCCTTCCTCACCTTTGCCCTCTGGGGAAGCGCCCGGACCCCTTGGACCTTGGAGTCCTGTGATGGCCCAGCATGGCGGTCAGAGGCGAAGCCTCCAGGTGCTGCTGGACCTCTGGAACCCAAGTCTTCTGTGTGGCTCAGCGGGGCCCGGACACTGCGGTCCTGGAGCTTGGAGGTGATGGTCGCTGCCCAGGCTCCGCAGCGAGGGGCGGGGGAGCTCGGGTTGGTGGTTCTGTCCCGAGCTGGTGGGCTGAAATGTGCTCACCTGTGGGTGGTATGCCCATTACCCTGCCCGACAGCAGACAGCCAGCCCGGCGCTGTCATGGGTCCGGCTCACCTGCCTCCTAGCCGTGACCTCAGGCAGCTCATGTCCACGGGGACAGTGAGGTCCCCCGCTGCGCTGGGTGTGCACACGATCAGCCCCGAGGGGACACCCACTGCCTGGTCTTGTGTGGGCCATTTGCAGTTTGGTCAGCCGCAGCGTCCTGCATGGAGGGGCTCCTGGGCGGTGCATGTGCCCCTGCTCCTGGACCGTGGCCCCGGTGGCCATGCAGGGCTGCAGCACTGGCAGAGGCGGGCTCCGCCTGCTGCCCGGTTCCCAGGCCTCTCCCCCCCCCCCCCCCCATCTCTCCCTGTTTCCCTCCATTCTCGCTGCGCAGGGGACTAATACCAGCCTCCTTCCTAGGTGCTGGCTCTGGTGATGGGCCAGCCAGCCAGGGGCTTGCTCCCTGCAGCCTGTGAAGGGCACACCCCAGGTTAGCAGAACAGGCAGGGGGGAGGCCTCCTGGAGGAGGCCTTGTGGGGGACTTCACCTCACATGAGAGGCTGTCACCCCATTTTGGAGAGGAGAGTGAGCTGAACTTCAGATCTCAATGGCTAGGGACTGGAGGTCAAGGGTCTGTGGGGGGCCATGTGTGTGGGGTCTTCTGCTCACCGAGATGGACTAGGGCAGTGATCTGAGGGGCAGGAGCGTGGGAGCAGGGCGGTGGCAGGCAGGTCCTGGGGTCATGTGTCCCATAGACCAGGCACAGCAGCCACTGAAGCCCGCCCATGGGGGCAGAGGCCGGGCTTTGTGGAGTGTGTCCATGCTCAGGGCTCTGGGCCTAGCTGGGCCTTGGAGATCCCATGCCTGGCCCTGACCCTGAGAGAGGGTTCTTCAGGCGCTGGGACTGCACCTGCTCCTCCACACCTGGGCCACCTGTGGGTCAGGGGCTCAGGGATGGCAGCAGGCCAAGCATGGAAGTGTCCTGGCTAACACAGGTGCCTGGGTATGTGGCCTTCCCCTGTCCCCTGGTTGTTGGACCCAGGGCAGAGGTGGTTTATTATAGTCAAGCTTTCTGACTGGCCCTTGGGGAAATTGGTCTTCATGCTTTTTTTTTTTTTTAATGCTGATATTGGGGCTTGAATTCAGGGCCCGGGTGCTTTCCTTTAGCTTTTTCACTTAAGGCTGGTGCTCTACCACTTGAGTCACAGCTTCCCTTCTGGCTTTTTGCTAGTTCATTGGAAATAAGAGTATCACAAACTCTCCTGCCTAGGCTGACTTTGAACTGTGATCCTCAGATCTCAGCTTTCTGAGTAGCTAGGATTATAGGTTTGAGCCACTCCTGCCTGGCTTGACTAAGTTTTTGAGTCAACTCTGGTTTTCAGTAAAATTTAGCATTGTGTAATGAATGATTACAACATCAAAAGAACCCCCCCCTCCCCGGTAGGTCTCAGGAGCACCTCCCAGCCCCTCCCTCAAGCAGCTTGTGATTGGCTCGCTGGCTCTAGATTTACCGGTTCTGATGTTTCATGTAGGTGGGGCCTACGGTTCATACGTGCATCAGCCTTCATGCTTTGTGTACTCTGTTCAGTAGCTGGTCATATAGTCCTCTGTAGATATTTGGGATGTTTCAGTTTTGGGGGCTCTCGTGAGTAGTGTTCCATGTGCATGCATGTGTATTTGCTTTTGGGTGCCTCTGACAGGCACTGTGGTCCCCACTTTTGGCATCAGCTCTGGTGTTCCTGTACGGTCCCAGATTCCAGGCCCAGCTGCTTGTTTATGCAAGCTGGACTTGAGCAATCCATGTTCTCAGCTTATTGGGCCTCCTGTAAAATGAGCTGGTGGAAAAAGCATCTGCCTGATGGGTGGCCTTAGGCACTCAGTGGCCTAACTCCAGTGTCAGGTGTTTGGCAGTGGGAGGTGGCATGGCCCCAGGAGACAGGAGTCCTGACGCTAGCACCATGCTGTAATCAGTCATTAAATATGCTTGTGTGGCGGCCAGCGTCCTCGGGAAATGCCAGGCCCGGCTGCTGTGGCGAGGTGGGCCAGGAGGGCGGGGTTGTACTGGTCCCTTCGTCCCTCATGCTATTCCTCTGGGAATCAGTCCTGGGGCTGCATGGTCCCATGGTGTAGGTACTTAAGGACATAGGCCAGAGGTGCCAGGGCCATCTGGTACAAGGCCTTCCCTGGGACCCTATGGCAGTGTCCCCAGGGAGGGATGTGAGCTGTCCAGGGTGAAGTGCCAACGCTGGGCGCCCAGGGTCTCCGTATGTGTCCGACACCCCCTGCTGGTCAATGGTGGTTACACCACCTTCTCAAGTCCGGGTGGCCTCAAGAGAGGATACTCCTCACCTATGACCTGTTTTGGTTTTCCCACGTGACAGGCCTGGGCAACAGAGGTCAGGTAGCCTGGGCTGGGGCTTAGGAAAGCCCTCAAGCATCTCCTGGGGGTCTGCATGCCTCCTGGGACTTGAGACCCTTTCTTACCCAGATGAGGGTAATAGGTTCAAAAGGGGCCAAAGGAACCTTGCTCACCCTGGCTTTCAAGGACCCCAAGGCTGTGTGGCCTGCAGAGTGGGTGAAGCACCCTGGGAGGGCAGAGGGCTTGGCTGCCAGCTCAGTGGGAGGCTCTGGGCTGGGGTAGTGGCCCTGTGGGGTGGTCTTGACTGGGTGGCATTGAAAGGGACTGCTCTGTTCACGGCTGTGTGGCTGGAAGGAGTTTCCAGCCTGTGTCCTAAGAAGGAAACAGTTACTGTTTCCTTTTTCAATTGTGTACTGGGGCTGGAGCTCACAGCCTCTCTCAGCTTTTTCATTTATGGCTGGTGCTCTACCACTTGAGCCATGCCTCCATTCCTGGCTTTTTGCTGGTTTAGTGTATGTAGGGGTCGTCTCATGTACATAGGAGCTGCACAGATATCCTCTGACCCTGGCTTCAGAGTCACCTCTTTGCTGGTGAGGTGCCTCTTGCTGCTCTCCATTTGGCCTGGAGGCCACACTGCAGCCCAGGGCAGGACTGAGCTGTGCCAGCGCCGCCTGGAGAAGAGTGCGGGGTGGAGACAGCTTCTGACAGAAACCAGGCTCCTTCCTCCCTGCTGTCGCACCAGGGTGCTGGGGACCTGGTGGCTTAGTTACTCCCTGCCCATGCGTAGGCAGGGCTGGGTGGGGAAGCAGGGCCCAGGAGGCTGGGTGGCCTTTGGTCTCAGGTAACAGCTTTGCCCTGGTCTTCCTCAGCCTGCTGTCCCCACTTTCCCTGCCAAGCAGACTGCGGGTCCTGCACACGCAGCCCCCTTGCCTCCGTTCCACACGGGACCAGGTCATCTTCAGACTTGCTGATGTGGCCATCAGGGAAGAGCCGCCTCGCCTCCCTCAGCCCCACACAATCTGTGCCGCCAGTCAGAGCTAAGGTGGCCGTGTGATTCCTCCACAGGGCCCCACCTGCCCGGAGCTGCCCTCGCCCCCGGCCACGGGCTACAGCACCGCAGGACAGAAGCCCGAGGCTGTGGTGCACGCCATGAAGGTAAGGGCCACAGCTGTGCAGCTGCCGGTCTGAGGTCCTGCAGCGGGAGGAGGGATGCGTCTGCAGGTGGGAGTGAGGGTGTGGTGAGGAGTCCCAGCGTGGCGCGTGGTCACCCGTCCACCCTGAGCGACTGCAGCTGGGGAGGTAGGTGTGTGGTGGTGGAAGTCAGGACAGGCACTCAATAAAGTCACGGGTGGGGCGGGGCTGAAGCCTGTCAGGCTAGCCTGGGCCCCCAGGCACAGGTGTCACCAGGCTGCCGTGCTTGCTGAGAGTTTGCAGTTGAGCGCAGGTCTGTTCCCAGCCGCCTCCCTTTCTTTGCACACCAGACGGGGGACTTGGCATTCCCTGGCATCGCTGCCAGCGGCGACTGCCACACACCGCAAGGGCCACCTGTCTGATGGTCACCCTGCCCCACTGCCTCCTCCCGGGCCTTGTTGCTTTCAGGTCTTGGAAGTGCACGAGAACCTGGACCGGCAGCTCCAGGACAGCTGCGAGGAGGATCTGAGCGAGAAGGAGAAGGCCATCGTCCGAGAGATGTGCAACGTGAGGCACTTCCTGGGGCGGGGCGGGGAGGGGCCTGGCGCGCGTCCAGCAGGGCCGCCCCCTTCCCTGCATGCTGCAGCTGGGTGGCTGGATGGCGGGGGTGGCGTGGAGCCTGTGGGAGCACTGCCTGTCATCTCGTTCCCCAGGTCTGACCTTCCCCAGAGGCCCAGCCTGGGGCTCTGCATAGAGCCTGAGCTTGTGGCCCCCATCTGCTCCTCCCCCCCCCCCCCCCCAGCACCGGTCTTCATCCTAGGGTTCTACCCTTCGGCCGTTGGTGCCCTGGGTGCCTGGCATTGGGCCTCCCAGCTTGCTGGTGCCCCTCAGTGGCTGCTGGCCAGGCAGGCGAGAGGACTGGGCAGACAGGGACTAGCTGCGCGGGTGCCCGGGAGATGAGATGTCGGTGGAGTATGGAGCTGGAGATGCAGGTGGGACCCCTGGCAGCCCCGCAGGCCTGCAGGGCTGGGGGGCCCCAGAGCCTCGCCCTCCACCACCGCACCGCCATTTGTTCTCTAGAGAACCAATCTCCCTTGCCAGCGCCAGGGGGAGATTTCACTGGGCCTGAGCCCGGGACTTAGGTTGGTGGGGGCGTGCTGAACTGTACCCCTGTACAGGCTCCCTGGTGGAGCTGTGAGCTGAGTCTGCCCTTAACTGTGCTTACTTGGGGCAGTGTGATGGCAAGGGTGGGCAAAGCCTAGGCCTCATCACTTCCTGCCTTCCGGGGCCCGTTTCCCTCCTTGGTACCCGGGTGCCTGGTACCCGCGTTGTTTGGCAGAGTGAGTGGTAAGGCAGTGGCGGCGCCGGGCTGGTGGTTGGCTGCACTGAGCCTGTGCTCACCTCCTGCGCCCCTTCCCCCCACAGGTGGTCTGGAGGAAACTGGGTGACGCCGCCAGCTCCAAGCCTTCCATTCGGCAGCACCTGTCTGGGAATCAGTTCAAGGGACCTTTGTAGGGCCATTCTTTCCTGGACGTGGACTGCCCTCCCGAGGTCCCAGGCCTAGCCCCTCTTGTCCTTCTCTGTGGTGAATTGTACATAGGACACAGCTTCCCCGGCTGCCATGGTGCGACGCAGCCAGGCCTCCATCGCCGGCGTCCCATGCCAACAAATGGGGGAGATGAGAGGCCACGGCGCGGTCCCTGTGCAGAGCGGCCTGGACAGACAGCCTTGTTCCCTCAGGGCCCTGGCTCCATTAGCAAGAGGCTGACGCTGCTTTACGGCTGCTTCTAGGAGCCAGGCCCAGGCCCAGCGGAGGCTCGCCTTCAATCAAGAGCGTTCCATCCATCAGGCCTCCCATGCCTTGATGCCCCAAGCCCTGGCCAGAGGCCTTGGGAGTCAGAATCCTGATGCAGGGCCCTTGCCCCCAGCGAAGGCCGGGACCTGGACTCACCGCCTCCACGGCTGGCAGGAGGTGGCTCTGGGGGTCAGGCCCTGCCTGGCCCCCAGCCCTGGAAGCTCAGGGTCCTCTCTCTCTAGGGGTTGTGGCGTCCAGCTTGTTTGTAGCATTCACCCATCGCGACCCCCCTCAGACACCTCCTCTCTGTAAGGTCTCCCTAACCTTGGCAGGCTGAGCTGTCTCAGGCCTCCTGCTGGGAGCCCCTTCTGTGTTTACACAGGAAGGTCTGGAGTGTCGGAGCTGAGCTGCACATCTCAGGCCAGGTAGGCAAACGAGGCCGTGGCTGGTTGTCTGTCCATGGTGCGGTCTCTGTCCACCGTGCCCCCCCCCCCCCCAGTGGGCAGTGTCAGGGACTGGCCAGTCACATGCTTTCTGGGAAGGAAGGAACCTGACTTGGTTCTGGCATTCATGGATGCTTCTTTGGGTTCCTGTTGGGGAAATGGGGTCTCCTGAGACTCCATTTAACAAGCTCACTGTTTGACACCACCCGGCTCTAGATGGCCTTGCCATTGAGAGCCAGCGGGGAGGACCCGCGGGGAGCGGCTAGGGGGTGAGCTGGACCAAGCTCTCTTTTGCTGCCTTGGTTGCGTCCAGGCCACTTCCTCCCCGAGCCCAGCTCAAGGTCCTCAGCTGTGAAACAGGTCCTGGCAGGGGCCAGGGAGGAAATGAGATGTTCCATGTAATGGTCACGCAGGCACCGGAGAGTGTGCTAGGCAAGTGGTTCTATTTGCTGTGAGGAAACCGAGGCTTCATGGGTGGTAAGGTGGCACACTGCAAATGACATCCAGCCCCGAGGGGCCAGGCTGCCGTGCCACCATGCCACTGCCACCGGCCCCTGGCGCACTTCTCCAGTTCCCCACTCCAGCTTTACTCCTCCAGGGGGACGTAGAGCTCCACACAGCGAGCACCGGGAAAGCCAGAGGGTCGCATCCACACCGAGGGGAGGGTGGGGCCAGGGCCGGGCAGATGCTCTTCCTCACTCCAGCCAGAACCCTTCAATCAGGAGAGGCCCACAGCCTCGGTGGCCTAGGGTGGGGTGGGGGAGGGACAAACGTGCTGCTCCTGCTGTTCCTAGTGGTGAGCTGCCCAACCCCCTCCCTGCAGGTCATGGCACCGGGCCACCTGGGTCTCTTACAGCTGTTAGGCCCCTTCCTGGAGGCCAGGCAGCTGTGACCTTGCTGGGTGTGGGTTCACAGGGCAGGAGGCTGTTCTGGGAGCCCCGGTAGGCCATGTTTGGACAAGGATGGCTTGGCCACTACTGAAATAAGCAATAAGTCGTGGCTCCTGGCGTCTGCAGACCTGCAGGGCAAGAACACCTACCTGGAAGCAGCTTCCTTCCCCCATCAGGAGTGGCGGAGGTATGGACGTTCCTCCTGCCCTAAGCCAGCAGCCCCTCGGGAGCCAAGGCAGAGGGGGCCGCAGCACAGGCAGGAGGGCGGGGGGGGGGGGGGGACTCCCATGCAGGGAGCTTGAGGGCCACAGCTCAGGGTGACACTGGGTGACCTTTCTGGAGCCTCAGCTCTGAGACCCTGAGGGGTGGTGAGAGTGGCCTTTCACCCCTCCATTCCTAGTGCCCATTCTAGACCCTGAAGCCCCCGCCGCCTGCACTGGCTCCGGACCCACTGTGACGGGGGCCGCCCCCCAGCCCCCCAGGGCGGCTTGCTTCGCCTGGTCAGAATCTGCTGAGCACATTTTTCTAGAGTGGCACATTTTTATCCCAAAAGTTACTAGCTACACACCAGTGTTTAACGAGAAAAAGTGACCTTTCATTTTTTTTCCCTTGAAACTTGAGAGGAAACAATCCATACTACTGATTTTTTTTTTTTTAAGAGCTGAGATGCATGGGTGCGGTGGTAGAGGTGTCTATTTTTCATACTGTGGGGAAAGTATTCGTGCTGCTTTTCGGGGACGGGACGGAGCGCCCGGCTGCTGGCCCCGGCGGCTGGCACCTATGCTATTTTCTGTAGGTGACTACACACAGCCCCCTCCTGCCCCGGCTATGCAGAGCTGGAGCCTGTGGACTTCTGGCCCATTTCTACCTTCTCTTGAAACACTTTTGATTTGTGGAGAGTTAAAAAAAAAATAGAACTTTTTGATAGTGTGGTAAAAACATTGATTTGAACTATTTTAGTAAAAGGAGTAACAAACAGATAAGATTGTGACAGTGTATACTTTGCGCTAGATAAATAAAGGCCTCTTTGCAAGCCTCCGGGCTGGGTGCTCGCTGTTTGTCTCTACGGAGGGAGGCTCAGGGGTGGCCGGCAGAGGGGCCCGGCCAATCACCTAGCATTCTGTCTGCCACTTAAGACAGCCGGCCTCTCCCGGTGGATGGTGAAGGCCGGCGGCTGCTCCTTCCTCGCTCCTGTCTTGTGTGGGCCAGGGATGGGAAAGAAGTCTAGTCTGAGCTTGGTCTGACCTCAGTGCCCATGCTGTACGCACAGCTGCTGGGAAGGTCCGGGTGGGAAGGCAGCTGGTCTCTCTAAGGAAACTAAAGTCAGACAAAGGCAAGTTGAGCCGGAAGGTGGCAACCTGCTTTCCCAGAGCCTCGCAGGCGTCAGACCAGGCTTTGCGCTTGGCTCGGTCCTTCCATCCAGCCTCCCCATCAGGCCCGACCATGGAGGCTGAAGCCCAGCTTCTCGGCTGGAACAAACAAGGGCTCGATTCAGAACTGATTTTATTTGGATAACGGACTGAAGGAGTCTCATTTTTAACCAAGATGGAATTCACAGTATGCTGATAATGTTCACACTTAAAAAATATATCTTTATGTACAGGAATTTGCAAATAGATGTAAACATACATTACTTTCCAAGTACACCTCTCCCCATCTCGGAGGAAAAAGAGACCAGCCACCCCACAAGGCCACCCCTTCAAGAGAATCTCAGGACAGAGGACATGGATACCTGCAAAGCCGCCATGGGCAGACGCCGCTGAACGAGAGGACAACAGCTTGACTTTGAATGGAGGTGGACTACTGAAATGGTTTCCAGGAAAAATAGGCACTGATTTCTAGAAGGAAATTCACTCCCTAGGGAAGCTATTTATTGAGCCAATGTGGCCGGCCAACATTTCACTAGTATAAAGGAACCCAGCGCAGGACTCTTATGCCACATCAGCTTAAACCACGTGCGTGAGGCCGCGAGGTGCTGCGGGGGCCACCCCGGAGCCGGCTGTCCCCTCCCTCCCGGTGTGAGGAAGGACCTCCCCGATTTCACCCCTTCCTGCCACACTGCAGTTGTCTAGATTATCCAAGGTACCCTGCTGCTTACCCACTTAAACTACTCAAGTTGATTAGAAAAAAACTGGTTAAAAAAAAACAAAAACCAACCAAGGGAAAAGAGGTGTCAGGTTATCTCATCCAGGCTGCGCGCCCCAGCCCCGCCACGGGTGGCATGCCCGGAGGGGGGATGGGTGGGGGCACTGGTGGCTGTCCTCCAGGGGGGACAGCAGGAGGTGGGTAGCTAGCCGGTGGTAGACCCAAGCCTGGAGGAGGGTGGGGTGGGACCGCATGGGTGGGGGGCAGGCGTGGGGGTGGAGGTGGGAAGTTGGGGTTGTAGGTGGGTGGAGGCGGGTAGCCTGGAGTGGGAGGGGGAATGGTGGGTGGGGGGAAGGAAGCAGGAGGGGGGGGCACAGGTGGCGGGGGAGGGTTAGGAGGATAGACATGGGGATGGTAGGGGAGGTGCGCGGGTGGGCCGTAGGCTGGGGGCAGGGCACCGTAGGAGGGGCCCTCCGTTTTCATCATGGACTGCAGGCTCTGGTAGCCCTCGCCGGACATGTAGGAGCTGGTGGTGGACATGCCGGTCATGTAGCTGGAGGGAGGTGGGGGCGGGGGCCGGTGTGGCAGCGGTGGTGGCTGGTGCACGGGGGCCGGGTGGGCCGGAGGAGGGATCTGCACTTTGGGAAGGTCACTGGCATCCACTGGGCCTGGTGGCTCGGCCTCGCCTAAGGCAGCGGCAAGGGGAGGCTTCCGGTCTGCAAGAGAGAGACCAGTTGGTGCCCGGCCTGAGGGCCCCGCGCAGCTCTGCACAGCGGAGGACGGGACGCTTCCTTCAGGAAGCTCTGTCAGCACCGGCCCCACCCGCAGGCCAGTGTCCCAGTGTCGCCTCACCCGTCACCCTGGCCCTCCACCTGTCTCCAATACCCCAGCTCTGTGCCCCCACACCTGGGGACACCAGGCTCAGACAGCCTTGGTTTAGTCCCCTCCTCTTAGCATAGCACGGTGGCAGGCCTGCAGCACCGGCTGGAAGCTTGAGCATTGGTCAAGTGGAGAGGTGGCATAACAGGTTTTAGCTCGTGATCCTTAATCAGAGATCCTTGGAAAATGACACCAGGACCCCTATCCATGGATGTCAGCTGGAGGGGAGGATCACAGGGGCAGACGCCAAATGGAAAGCCAAGGCCACAGAGTTCCTAGCTCTGCAGTGTCCAACTGCAGAAGCACACTCTGTGTGGTGGAGGAACCCGCCAGGCAGTGTGGCAAGAGTGACACATGAATCTGCTGTTGGCAGACATGTTGGTCCCTCCTCTCCTAAGGCAGGAGGTCAGAAACCCTGGTAATGAATCTACTTAAGGTGCAGAGAAAGCTGTGCCCTTTGATTCTAGAAGCTGACTGAGGAGATTACATAAAGTAGCAGCCTCTTCATTACTCCAGTGTCACTCCACGGCCACCCGAGTCACAAGCGTGCTCATCTCCTTTGAGAACCCAGTTCCCGCAGCGCTGGGGCCGCAGAGCGCCTGCCCTTGTCCTTTGCCTGCACCACAGGTCACGCGGCACTCCTGTCCTGACGCCTGCCTGCCACACACGGCCCCCATTTCTTCTTGTCATCCTGTCCTTATAGGAACCACGTGCACCTCTCACAGCGCCACCTGTTCCTCGCCCACCTCTATTCCCTCTGCACAGACAACTCCCAGTGGTCTCGGGAACTTTGGGGTATACCCTGAGGTGCTGTGGGATTCTAGCCACGGAGCACACGAGGTCTGTGGCCCCGCATGATACCACAAATGGATGCAGACAGAGCAAGTGACCTAGCAACCCACTGGCTACAGCAGGCAGCCCCACACATATAGCCAACTATGAGCGCCAGCTAACTCCTAGTCAGGGTAGTGGGCTGCCGGAGGCCCACAGGGGGCTGGGACACAAGCAGCTGCCTGGGAAGTCTCCCAGCTAACTGTACCGCTGAGAGCTGGACTGTCTTAACTTCTGTCCAGTGCGCCTCTGAACAGTCACTCAGCTGGCAGGATTTGGTTTATTGGTGCTGCTAGTTCAGCACTTCTGGACGTGAAGTTGGTTTGTAGCGTCTAGTTTGTGAAAGCTCCTAGCCTGTAGCCACCTTTCCAAGTCTAGCCCACCCCGCCCTTCTACAGGTCCCCCTGGCCGGAAGCTGCTCCCCCCAGCCCCCACCATACTTACCTGGAGGAGGGTGGGCTGGAGGCAATGGTGGGTGAGTGGTCTCAAGCTTGGGGATTTTAGGTGGCGGTGGTTCTACAAAGAAAGAGTGGATTAAAAAGCTACTCTTACCTCTTCATGGAAACCAATCATAAAGAGAAAGAAGGTGTGATCCGAGGTTTCTTTGGGAGAAAAAGGCTGGACTGACCAAAGCTTTAAGAGAGTTAGAAGGAGTCAGCTAAACTGCTGTGAGGTTATCATCTTCTCAAAGTAGCAACACGACTCAAGTACCTCCCTCCCCCAAAGCAAAGGGCCCCACAGCCCCAGAGTGCCATCTCAGAAAACACAAGAGTGGCCCTGGACACTCACCAGGCAAGACCCTGCCTTCTAATGCTCACTTATCTATTTGAAGCTCACTTTCCAGCTCTGAAACACTGAATTCCAGCAGGAGCCTAGGAAGTGGGGACAGTGGAGATCTGGAGGTAGGCTCTCAGCTGGAGGGAGAGTATGACCCTTTAAATCACTGGTGGCTGCACCAGCCCCAATTACAGAAATGCCAGGTCTCCAAAACAGGCTATAAGTGCAAACTCTTCAGTTTAAGAAGGCAGAGCCAGGTGTCCATGCCTCATGCCTGTAATGCTAGCTACTCAGAAGGCTGAGATCTGAGGATAGTAGTTCAAAGCCAGTCCAAGCAGGAAAGTTCGAGACTCTTATGTCCAGTAAACTAAACTACTCAGAAAAAGCCACAAGTGGCAGAGTGTAAGCCTTGCGCATTCTAGGCAAGCACTATACCATGAAGCCCCACTCCCAGCCCATATAGTCTATTTACGTACAAGCCCTTGAAAGTCTGGTATGTATTTTGTGCTGGTGGGGTGTGACAACCTGAGCTGGCCACATTTTGAGTGCTCACGCCCCCCCGTGGCTGGTGGTGTGTAGTGCACAGCACAGGGGAGTTTCCCGCACCCACACTGCCCCCTGGCCCTCTCCTCCTGGTACCAAGGCCTGTCCCACCAAATCCCACTTAGGTGCTTACAAGTTTTTCTCCATTTCCAATCATTTGCCCTTACCGCTGTCAGGAACTGGATCTTAAATGAACTGACTTTGTCATCGCTCTGCTCAAAAAATCTTCAAAGGCTCCCAATGACTCTTGCAAACTCCATATTCATCCGAGAGACCTTTGGGATCAAGTCCCAATGTGGGACTGAAAACTTACTTTGAATCTGATGAAAAGCGATTTTCTTTCAACTCTTAACAATGCAATAACGTACTTCCCCCACCTCTCAATTCCTTTGCTCACTGGAGTCCTTCCTTCTAAGTGCTCTGGGGGCTCAAAGGCAAGTCCTCCTTCAAGGTTACCCCGAGGCTGTTTCTTTCCTCTCTCACAAAGCCTGGTCAGCTCGCATCCACTGCACATCCACGTGGCACCGTCCACATATAGTGTCTTATACTTCGTGTCTGTCAGTACGGAACTAGAACTTATCATTCTCCCAAGATGTCAAGAAACATACAGCTTTAGACCTTGAAGATCTCCTAATTGTTTTATGAGTAACTCATTAGAGTCAAGAAGTAACAGTGAGTAAACATGGTCTGTGCCCTTCAAGGGGTCTGTACAAGCTGGGTGCCAGGGATTCACAATCCTAGCTATTCAGAAGGCTGAGATTTGAGGACTGAGGTTCAGAGCCAGCTGGAACCTCAGGTAAACAAATTTATGAGTCTCTGATCTTCAAATAGCGAGCACACAGCTGGGGGCAGAGGCGTGGCTCAAGTGATAAAGACTACCAATCATCAGCAAGAAAGTTGACTGACAGTACAGGGCCAAGAGTTTATGCCAGTTTTTTTTGCTCTGGAATCCTGAAGACTTTGCGTCTTTTTTACATAGAAGCAAAAGAATCAACTTAAGACTTTATAAATATGAAAATCCCTTGGTGGCTGAAGAGGCCCAGCTTCCATGGCAGTGGGAGGTAAGATGCACTGAGAATGTACTTTGGAAACACAGCCCGTCCCTTTGATGGCCTGCTGTGTTGAGGATAGGCACTGCCCTGGTCCTTTACGCGTCTGGTGTGATGGTCTCCACTCAAACACCCTCCCTTCCCTGCCTTTTTTTGTGCTGGTCCTGGGGTTTGAAATCAGGACCTAGGAGCTGTCTTTTTTGCTCCTAGCCAGTTCTACCTCTTGAGCCACAGCTCCACTTCTGACTATTTTGGAAGTTCATTGAAGTAAGACTTTCATGGACTTTCCTGCCCGAACTGGCTTCAAACTGCAATCCTCAGATCTCAGTCTTCTGAGTAGCTAGGACTACAGGTATAAGCCACTGGTGCCTGACTTCTACTCACCTCTTAAACAAAAAAACCAACTCCACATTTACAGGTTATTGAACATATTTTTACTGCCAGCAATGTTGCCTGTATTGATATCTTTTGTCAAAGCACAACCTAAATTATGGTAATTATGGTCTGTGTTCAGCAGGGAAGATAATGTCTCTGGCAGACAAAAATTCTGTTATAACCTACATCTATCTGAAAGGGCACACACGGCGTTGACTAAGAACTTAAATGAAAGTAAAGTTTTGCACTGACATAAAATTTAGAACTTACCTGCTGCTTTGTTCTCTTCTTTGGGAGAAACAACCTGTTGCAAAAGGAATTATACAATTATAAAACAGATAAAGAGTTTTGGTGAGGAAAAATACCTAGGCATGAATAGAATCAGGGCAGACTATGGCCTCAGGCTCAAATTATTTGTGAGCTGAACCTGCAAGGCACACTATGGCCCAGAAGGTCACTTCTACTCTTTCTCCTCCCTTTTTCAAGTCAGGTAGATTGACGACCCTTCTGCACTACTCAGTTTTAGGCTGTTGACACATTTGGTCCTGGGATTTGATGCCTGTGTATTTGTCCTAGCCAGCTATCTTTGGGGATCCATAACAGTAAACAGCTTCCTGCAGCACTCTGGGTGCTCTAACGAGGAAAAGAAGATTTGTACTCTATAACTAGAAACTTCACAAATAACCAAGAACTGAACCATGGAAGTACATGCCAAAAGGTTTTGAAGCAGCTCTCAAAAGCTGCAGTCTGGGGCTGGGAAGGTGGCTCAGTGGTAGAGCGCTTGCCTTGCATGCCTGAGGCCCTGGGTTCGATTCCTCAGCACCACATATACAAAAAGAAAAAAGCTGCAAGTGGCGCTGTGGCTCAAGTGGTAGAGCGCTAGCCTTGAGCTGAAGAGCTGAGGGGCAGCGCCCAGGCCCAGAGTTCAGCCCCCACGACCAGACCCCCCCCCCCCCCAAAAAAAAGGTGCAGTCTGAGTTAGGGGTGGGTGGGTTTACTGTGTTTCGTGTTCATGTGATCCCTCAGAAACTGGAACAACGCTCACGGTGTGGGCTGCCACTGGAAGGCCCACTCACCACAGCGCGCTTGGCCTGCCGGGGAGGACTAGGCTGTGGGGACGGCTTCTTGGGCTGCTGGGCTGCTTGCTGCTGCGGTGCTGACTGCTGGGAGTCTTTCTGCGGGGGTGGGGCTGGCTCGGAGCCTTGAGACGGCTGTGACTGTTGCACTGGTGGCACTTGCGGTGTAGGCTGAAGAGAGGGGGGCTGCTGGAGCTGATGGGGGGTGTGATGAGGCATCTGTTGTTTCCCTTGCGAGTAAAGGTCCAGGATCTGGTGGCAGATGTCTAGATGACAGCAACAATTACATTTACCATCAATTGTCATCTTAAACCAAATTTTACCTACAAACACCAATACCAGTCAGATCTGATCTCCTCCAGGACTAATGATAGGGATCACTTTTGCAATGGACTATCTTTGCCATGCACAAAACTTAGTTTTAGTTCACTAAAACTACATGCTTAGACGAACAAAAATTATACTAAAAATTATGTTAGAAGATCTAATTAAAGATGCTTCTGAAAAATCAACACATATATAACTAGAGAAAATGCACTCATGACTGAAGAGTTGCAGGGAAGAATAATCTCAACATGGAACACTCTTGCACGATACCTTCCAAAACATCGACAGGGACATCTTGAACAAACTGCTCCCACCATCTCCTGTACATGGGTTTGGAGGTCCATTCTTGTATTTCAAATTTACACAATCGTCCTGCAAGATACATCACTGCTACTGCTATGATCTCTGGTTCCCACTGCAGCGACAAGGTGGTGCACAGACTAGCTCAACAAGGAAAAAGAGAAAGACTTTTTGAATGATGTGACCTGACATTAATGATTAAAATCAAAGCATAGAGATTAATGCCATATCTATCTACATGCCAATTTGCTTGTTCAAACCCCACTGAAGAATTACAAGAAAGTAAGTCTTTAGGACTTACTTTGATCGCAGCTACAAATTTGTTCTTTAAGAGCTGCTGCACTATTAAACACAAATGGAAATAAATGGCTTGTATGTTTCCTGTTGAAACTTTAGGCACTGAACTAGTCTTCAAATGCAATTGTATGGTTTGTTCAAATGTTCTGTAAGTCAAACTCAAGAGAAGCTTCTTGGCCAGCAGTGGGATGGGGTAGTTGGAAACTCTAGTCTCTGACATTCTGAAGAACATCACAACTCTGAAACCTTACAAGATACTGCATGAACACCAAGCAGTCAAATGTCCAAAGTCTTATGCCTTAACTTTCAAACTGGTGATAGAATTTCAGCCTCTCACAAATATTGTGACAGGGCAGGGCAGAAAGATACCCCTCTGAGGGGAGCAGACAACTGGGACTTTAGCCCTAGTTCTGCCATTACCTGGCTTTTCTTTTTTTTTGTTCTGATCAAGGTCTGTTTATTGAACTTACAAGCAGGCTTATATACTATAAATGAAAGAGGAACCATTACCTGGCTTTTTGTCCAGGGAAAATTAGTGTCCTCATCAAAATGAGGAGATTGAATTAAATGATCCACATGATCTCTGCCTAATTAAAAACACTATAATATAATCGACATTTGACTACATGTACCTGTCATTTACAAATGTCCATGCCATTTGAACCAGCTTTTGAATTTTGTTTTTATCACCTAGAAAGGCAAAAAAAAGTAAATTAATAGGAGTAGGGGAGGAAGGAATTCACAAAAGGCAAGAATTTTTTACTTAAAATCTAATGTGTGCCTGTACAGTATAGAACTCACATCTGGAAAATGAGAACAAATGATGTCCTCCCTCTCGGTCTTCTCCATATGACCCAAGGGAACTACCATTTATGGGAAACATGGCTCCAAGGCTAATTTTATTAGTCTATTTAAAAAATTCTGACTCATTTTCCTGCCTCCTATCACCTGCAACTGCATGGCAGAACTTGTTTATACATGAAAGGAAACAACATTAAAAGCTCCTCTACTGCCTGGCCTGAGTATTTCATGCATGAAACTTTCTGTTTTCCTCTTTGACAAGCATAATCTGAATATTATTAAATTACAAAGACTTGGTTTCAGAATGACAAAGGTCTTTTAAAAACCATCTTAGTCTTGAGAGCTGGGGATGCAGCTCAGTGGAAAAGCCCTGGTCTGACATCTGCCGAAGTTCTGGGTTCCATGCCTCCAGTGCTGCAAAAAAATCCAACAAACAACAAACAGGACCAATCAAACCAAAACCCTTTCCTATTCTTACCTTTGAGTTGTTTTGCATATTTGAGGAGGAACTGGTATGGATGCTCTACCTGTAAATCAAACTTAATGGTCTGCAGTAGGATTCTTTCCAGAACCATTACTTCTTCCTGCAAGTAACACACATTGGGGTAGTAATTATAATCATAGGTCTCCCACAGTGAATATTTCCCATCTGTTTTTCCCTTCAAGTAATATTTTTGGAACCTTCGTTCTTTGTTCCTTTTTTCCTCTTCGCTCACGCTTTTAGTATGGTTAAGAGAGAGTGCTCGGTTCTGAAAATAACTCAAGAATAGCAAGATAAACCAGTAACAGGTTTAACTGGAAAAATGATGGAAACAAAATACTTGCAGAAATGTTATTATGTTGGATGCTGTGCTGGTGGCTCACACCTGTATTCTTAGCTGCTGGGGAGGCTGAGATCTGAGGATCTTGGTTTGAAGACAGCCTGGGCAGGAAAGTCTATGAGACTCTTATATCATGGGCGTCACCCTTAACAAAACAAACCTCTCCTTTATGGAAAATTTAACCACGTTTTTTTTTTTTTTGGGGGGGGGGGGGGTGGGTGGGTAGTAGCACTCTACTACTTGAGCCACTGCACCACTTCCGGCTTTTTCTGCTTATGTGGTGCTGAGAAATCAAACCCAGGGCCTCCTGCATGCGAGGCAAGCACTCTACCACTGAGCCACTTTCCCAGCAGTTTAACTGCATTTTGATTTCAAGATTTCTATTAAAAAAAAATGTAGCTGGGTGCTGGTGGCTCAGGCCTATAATCCTAGTTACTCAGGAAGCTGAGATCTGAGGATCATGGTTCAAAGCCAGCCTGGGCAGAGAAGTCTGTGAGACTCTTATCTCCAATAAACCACTCAGAAAACCAGAAGTGGCGCTGTGGCTCAAGTGGTAGAGCATTAGCCTTGAGCTAAAGAGCTGAGGGACAGTGCCTAGGCCCAGAATTCAAGCCCCACAAATGGGGGTGGGGTGGGGTGGGAAGTATTCATTGGCAACTTCAAGTGGGAAGAGGTGACAAGCAGCTTCACAATAACTAAGATGTACTGGTGTGTGCACACATGTACATGTATATATATAGGCACATGGTGCAAGTCTGAATTCGGAGTGTATTATTTCTACGTTTAAATCATTCATTTATCTAAAATAAGCCACATCACATCACCATTTACTGTACACACTATCATATTTAGAAAAAATTCTACTTAAAATGCTACCTAAACTGTATCCTAAATTATGTGTGCATGCATGCATTTGGACATATATAAAATTTTTTTCTGTTCATGGATTCACTTTTCTATTCCTGCATCACAAACAAAGGGATTTGAGAGAGCTCCAGTCTTATTCCTATTTTAAAATTGCTTTCTGTATATCTACTTGTTTTCATTAACAAATGATTACTACTGATAGCTGGTTGGGGCTATATTTGTATAATGACTAGCAAAAACTAACAATAATGAAGCATTCTGAAAAAATTACATTAAGATCTTTTCTTTTTTTCTTTTTTTGGCACCAGTTCTGGGCTTGAACTCAGGCCTGGGCACTGTCTCTGAGCTTCTTTTGCTCAAGGCTAATGCTCTACTACTTGAACCACAGTGCCCAGTGCCACTTTTGGCTTTTTTGATAGTTTATTGCAGATAAGAGACTCATATACTTTCCTGCTCTGGCTGGCTTTGAATTGTGATCCTCAGATCTCAGCCTCCTGAGCAGCTAGGATTACAGGCATGAGCTACCAGCTCCTGGCTGAGCTTTTCATTCTGTTTCTGTGGGATCGGGGTGGGGTAATTCCTGGAGCTTGTACTCAGGGCCTGGGCGCTGTCCCTGAGCTTTTTCACTCAAGGCTAGCATTCTACCACGTGAGCCCCAGCTCCACTGGTGGTTAATTGGGATATTCTCTCATAAAAGCTTGCTAAAATTTCTTGAAACTTTTGCATAGCATAAAAAATCCTGAACTTTTTTTTTTCTTGTTTTGTCAACACTTGGTTTCTCAGAAGCTCAACATTTCCTTTAAATTTAGAAACAATTTTTTACCAAGTGTGCCACAGGCTTCCAGGCTGGGGCTCCTCTAGTGCTACAGGACAGCTCCAGGTCTGCCCATCCTTAGTGTTCTAAGCACTCCATTAATGGTTAATTATAGGTCTGAAAGCAGCCTTCCTCAGGGCAGCTTTTCTCAGCCCGCTACTTGTGTGGGTCTCTGGGCAGACAGCATTTCATAGCACTTTCCGTACCTCATGATTGAAGAGTTATATTAGTTGATTAAAGTCTATTCTGACACTCAACTGTAAGATCCACAACAGCAAAAATCATGTGTGCTTTGACTGTTTTGTCATAGTGCTTTGTATCATGGCTGAGACATATTTGCCAAAGACAACTGAAATGAGTATCACTGGAAAAATTACTCAGCTAAAGTAAAGTTAATTAGCACCATGCTACTCACAAGTAACTGCCTTTCTGCCTTCTCACTTCTCAAATGCAGGGTGCTCTCCTTCAGTCCCTCCCCCCATCACACCTGGGAGGTTGCACACGGAGAACGAAGAAGCCCTACTACTCACTCAGGTCATGTTAGTGTCACAACTCCCCATTCCTAATTTCTAGAGCACTGAAGCTACAGAACTTTATTGTGCTGTGCTTAGGGCATTGCTTTACTGATTTGGTGATACAAGTAGGTAAAGGCTGAATTTGTAAAAGAGCAGCTTCTCCAAGGTATCCTAGGATATACTCAAACACAGCTGCTGTATTAGATCCTTGCCTGGTAGTGGCCTAAATCTACTATCTTTGACTCTAGCTCATTAGCTTGAAGTGGTTAAGCTTGAAGTACAATATGTCTCTACAGTATACTAGTCAAACTGAAAATATAAGTACTCACTTCTCCTGATAGGTCATATGAGAAACAAGCAAACCTCCATTTATGTGTATGTGTGTGTGCGCCAATACTGGGGCTTGAACTCAGGGTCAGAGAATTCTCCCTTAGCATTTTCACTGAAGTTTGGTGCTCTCCTATTTAGTCACAGCACCTGGCCTTTCCTTCTATTTTACAAGGCAAGGTCTACCTTTTACATAAGGCCCTCTTAGATGCTCAAGGGATTGGGAGATACAGGAGCCAACAGCAATTGTCAACACAAAGACCTGTATCATTATGCCATTGCCAAGAAGCACAATGTGAAGGCAGGCAGATAAAGTTCTTACCTTTGGGTCATCTCCAAACTGGCCAAACTGTACATCATTCAATAAACTCCGAGCTGTTTTGATGATATCTTTACATTTTTTTGGTGTTTCTTCTACTTTCCCAGCCAGAAACAGACAACAAGCTCCCGTTACCTAAAAGAGAGACAAAAACTCTTGATGCTTGTTAGTAAACATCACATAGGAATATACACAAGGGTTGTCCATGAGCTTTGTTGCTCAAGGCTAGCATCTACCACCTGGAGCCATACTTCCATGTCTGGCTTTTTAGAAGTTAATGGGAGGTAAGAGCCTCACAGACTTTCCCACCTGGGCTGGCTTTGAACCTTGAACCTAGATCTTGGCCTCCTGAGTAGCTAGGATTACAGGTGTGAGCCACCAGCACCTGGCTGACACAAGGACTTTTGACCTTCACAATAAGCCAGTCCATCTCATTTTCCTACCTTCTCATCCACAAATATTTTGATACTATTAAAGGTTGAAGAACATTTTGGGACCTTGAAAAAATAAATCTTTATAAGTTATTTAGGATTTATTTTCCTTAGACACAGAACACTTGCCTAATGTATGTGAAGCTCTAGGTTTCATTACCAGTATTTGTGTGTCAATTTTCTTAAGAAAATTGCTAAAAAGAAAAGTCATAGCAGTTCTTAAAGGTGTTGTGGCACAAGCTTTCTGCTCTTATGAGAGGCCTGTATGGGCTGTTTCTCCCATAACCATTGGAAAATGTAGCAGGAGTGCTATGAGGAACGCACCCTCACCAGACATGGGGTTTGCCAGCTCCTCCATCTTGGAATTTTCAGAACTGAGCGGAGTAAGTTTCTGTTATTTATAAAATTGCCCAGTTGAATGGAATAAGACACCATCAGCTAGGTGCTGTCCCAGAAACACTGGGGTCTGAACTGCTCTTTGGCATCTCCTGGCCCCTCCAATTCTCCTACACTTCACTTTCTTCATGTGCTTCTGATTACCCTAGAAGTCAGGCACTATGCCAGGGCATAAAGCTGATTCTGATGGTCTTCTCAAGAATTTCATAAGTCAGTGAGGAAGACAAGCATACAAATTTAACTAAAAACCAGAAAAAAGGGGGGAAAGAAGCCTTGGACAGGCTGGGCTCCAGTGGCTCATGCCTGTAATCCTAGCTACTCAGGAGGCTGAGATCTGAGGATACCAGTTCAAAGCCAGCCCAGGTAAGAAAGTCTGTAAGACTCATTTCCAATAATCTACCAGAAAATTGTAAGTGGCGCTGTGCTCAGTGGTAGAGCACTGGCCTTGTGCAGAAGAGAACAGAGACAGCACCCAAGCCCTGAGTGAATTCAAACCCTAGTGTCCTCCAACACCCCCAAAAAACCCTGAGCAGGACTGTCAATGTACTGCATGTATGCCCTGCATCTGCTAGATTTCTGTAGGACTGTGGCCATAGCCCACCTCAGCCTTCTATATGTTCAAGATTCGGCTAATTGCAATCACATCCTCTGTGTGCCAACAGCCTTCTTCCTGATGAAGGCCTCAGTCTGTTTATATCTCTCCTATGGTCTTAAGCCTACATTTATCTTGGGAAAGACGACATTAAATTTTCTTCTTTTTCTCTGCCAGTCCTGGGGCTAGAGCTCAGGGCCTGTGCACTGTCCCTGAGCTTCTTTTGCTCAAGACTAGCACTCTACTGCTTGAGACACAGGGCCACTTCTGGCTTTTTCTGTTTATGTGGTACTGAGGAATCGAACCCAGGGCTTTATGCTGCTAACCAAGAACCCTACCACTAAGCCATATTCCCAGCCCCTGAAAGTAAATTTTCATACAAGTACAATATTATTGTTGCCCATTTTGACCTAAATAAAAAAGATTTGAACAAGATTAATTGGAAAAAAGCAATGCTCAAGCTGGGCACTGGTGGGTCACACTGTAATCTTAGCTATTCAGGAGGCTGAGATCTGAGGATTAAGCTCCAAAGCCAGCTCAGGCAAGAAACTCCCTGAGATCCTTTTTTTTTGCTAGTCCTGGGGCTTGAACTCTAGGCCTGGGTACTGTTCTGAGCTTCTTTTGCTCAAGGCTAGCACTCTACCACTTGAGCCACAGTGCTACTTCCAGCTTTTTCTGTGTATGTGATACTGAGGAATCGGGGCAAGCACTCTACCATCCCCAAGATTCTTCTCTCCAATAAACTACCAAAACAAAAAGCCAGAAGTGGAGCTATGGCTCAAGTGGTAGAATGCTAGCCTTGAGCAAAAAAAACTCTGGGACAATGCCCAGGCCCTGAATTTAAGCTCTAGGATCAGCCCAAAAGCAAAACCAAAAATAGTATTCAAACCTGATTTTGTTTGTGAAGATCATGTACCATATCAAAACAAGTTGTTTGTGGAAGATATGATTAAATATGAAAATCAGTCTATGCTATTATTTCCTACACAGAAACAATAATGTGATAGTTACACTATAATTTGAATATACTTACATATCTTGGGAATTGCTTGAAGGAATGAAACATATAGAAGCGATGAAAATAAATTATTCCAGTTGCTAGAGTGTCATAGTGGCTGTTGTTCTAGTTAAGGACTTTAGCCAGTAACATCTATGTATTATGCTCTTTGTTAAAACCAAAGAAGAGAAAAACAACAAAACCAAGTTTAAGTAAACAGTATCAGTGGCAAAGCAGGGAGATGAAAATCTCAGGGTGCCAAAATTCTGATACAAAATATGAGCACTTTGAAGATTTATGCATGTATTAAGCCTTGAGTATCTTTCAGCAGTGATCTTAATGAGTGCTTGCTTTCTTCTCAGGTGGCTACTTGCTCAACCTGCTCAGGCACTGAGTCTACACTTTTAAATTGAACTAGAAACAGAAAACCCCCTTGGAAACCCAGAGCCTGGGCTTTGTCGCTGAGCTTCTTTTGCTCAAGGCTAGAGCTCTACTACTTTGAGCCACAGTTCCATTTCCCACTTTTCTGCTGTGGTTTAGTGGAGATAAGAGTCTCACAGATTTTCCTGTCTGAGCTGGCTTCATACTATGATCCTCAGATCTCAGTTTCAGGAACAGTCAGGATTATAGGCATGAGCCACAGACACCCCGCAGACAACCAGAATATTTAAACACTAAAACTAAGAATTGTCCAAATACAGACAAATGACAGTGTATTTGTCTATGGTATCGAACTCTAGATTTAGATAAATATGAGTACTGAGTGAGGGAGAGCCTATGCACTACAAACTGCACCGCAGAACAGGATACAGTCCCAACCGTGTGCCCACATCGAAGATGAACCGAGCCCCCTCGCGGCGGTACCGGGCCTCTGTGGCTGGATCGAGTCCTTCAAGCTGTGAGGGCGTATGAGCCAAGTCCTTCTTATCCCAGTACCAACATGGTTTGGTGTGGTCCAGGTTTGCTGACGTTACTGAAGGGCTGGAATTTTCTTTGTTCTCCTTCATTTATTGAATTAGGCTTGTTCTTTCTAAAAGCTTCTCTGAAAATGGTAGGAATCCTAAGAGAAAGAGAAAAAGACATGAAGTTAGAAAGAGACAGTAAGTATTCTTACAATTACAAGCATCAGATTATTGCAGAACATAACTGATGATGGATCAAAATTCCCCCACCGCTAGTGATTGGCAGTTCAAAGCCCAGGCAATGCCAAGCATAATGATGACCCATCCTGCAGACCTAGCACTCTGGGGGCTAAGGCTAGGAGGATTATAAATTCAAGTGAGAAGATGTATCAAAATCAAAAACATTCAAGCTAACTCCAAACCCAATTCAACACATCCCCTAGGCGATTCTAGTATGAGTATATCCCTCATTTTATGATAACTAAGAAAGATAGCATTTCCTCCCCATATTGAGTCTAAAGGATTAAAACAAAATTTAAGAAGTAACTAGTCCATGTTACTCCATTTCTGTCTTTATCAGTCTTACCCTGGTGTAGATTCCATGTTTTCAGTAAAACTTGGGGCTGTCTTAACCCTCTACAAAGATTAACACTGCTAAATTATCCATCCTTTCCCTCTAGGCACACAGTCCGCATTTCCTTTAATACTGTACCAGATTCACTTAGGAAGGCTGGGGGTCATAGCTCATGGGAAGAGGATTTGCCTAGCATGTGAGACCATGGATTCAATCCTGGTACCAAAAGGAAAATAAAATAAATAAAATAAAATGGGGTTGGATTAATGAGCACTGGCTAAGTCCCCAAACACAATATAAACTGGTTATATGAATGTAGCAATTGTGGGAGACAGTGGAAGGAAGTGGTTCATGAGGAAGGAGCCCTTTAGATTGCCTATGCTTTCTTTTCTTTTTCTTGTTGGTCATGGGGCTTGAGCTCAGAGTCTGGGTGCTGTCTCTGAGTTTAAGGCTAGTGCTCTACTGCTTTGAACCACAAAGCCACTTCCAGTTTTCTGATGGTTAATTGGAGAGTCTCACAGACTTTCCTGCGTGAGCTGGATGTGAACAAGGATCCTCAGATCTTAGTCTCCTGAGTAGTTAGGATTACAGGTGTGAGCTACCAGCACCAGGCTGGCCCATGCTTTCTATTCTCCCTTTCTTTCATTCAGAATATAGATATCCTTTAAAAGTCCCAAGTTGAGAGAAAGCAAAAGTTGTTCCAGAGACCACTATAACCTGTACATCCCTTGTAAACACGGGTTCCCAAAGAGGTAGCCAGGGCCAAGTCAGCCTGGTGAACAAGAAAATGGTGGTTCTGGGGCCAGGATCTGGGCCAGAGCTGCAGCAGTTCATCTGATTTTTTTTTTTTTTTCTGGTGAGAAAGGTGACACAGCAGAGCTCTGCTCCTCCTCGCACCTACACTTTACAAATCTAAAGGGAATCGGATTGCAGCCCCACCCCTCTATAGGAAGAATTAAGGGCCTGGAGAAAAGCAATCTACTTGAGCTTGTAATTTATACTTTTATGTGTAATTGATAAATTGGGCTCTAGAAAACAGCCTACTGAGATACCATTTTTCACTGGCAAAAATCCAAAAGTTTGACAATTTACAGTTGATAGGGCCAGGGAAAAGCATGTGGTTTAATGTTTCTGACAGGAATACAAAAATGGCACAATTGTCACAGGGGTAAGTTGGCAATATCCAACGAAATGCCACAGGTATGTGTTCTGACCTAGTAATCCTACTGGAAGGAATCTTCTCTGGAAGCATGCAACAACGTAAGCAAAAGGTTGTTCACTACATCATCATTTGTAATGGCAAGTCTACAAACAACCCACCTCCCTACAAATGGGGAGCTAGCTGAATGAAATATAGTACATGAATGAATACAACAGCATACCGAAGTACCTACTATCAAGATTGAGATTTTCAAAGGATAAGACAGTATGTATGGCATACGAACACCTAGAAAGGACGGGAAAGAAATGCTATCATAGCTGGGCACCGGTGGCTCACGCCTGTAATCCTAGCTATTCAGGAGGCTAGATCTGAGGATCGTGGTTCAAAGCCAGCCTGGGCAGGAACGTCCGTGAAACTCTCATCTCCAATAAACCACCAGAAAACCGCAAGTGGCACTGTAGCTCAAGTGGTAGAGTGCTCGCCTTGAGCTGAAGAGCTGAGGGACAGTGCTCAGGCCCAGAGTTCAAGCCCCACAACCGACAAAATAAATAAATAAATAAATAAGAAGAAATGCTATCATCTTGCTTCTGATAATAAGAAAAGTGTTTTTCTTTCAGAGACCAGAGAAGAACAGACGCAGAAAGAGGACTTCACCGAGTCTACCCTTTTATGTAGCTTTGGCTTGTTGTTTAGAAACCCTTTTAAAAGGGTTCCTGTAGATTTACAGGAGCTATAAAGACAGTATGGAGAGTTTTTGTCTACACTTCACTTAGATTCCCAAGTTAACACGTTACATAAACAAAGTACTAAGAAATATACTTTGGTATAACATTAACTAAATAAACTATTGGATTTTAACTTCTTCCAGAATGCCTTTCATGTTCTAGGATCTAATTCAGGACATTTTTTTACATTGCATTTAGGTATGATTTTTTCCCTTAGTATTATCTTCTCTAATAAGTAGCCGTTTTCCAGTCTTTTTTGGTTTTTCATATTTTGAAGACTTTGAGGCAAGCATGTGCCTATTTCTCCCTTTTCTGTAAGTTATTGGGGCTTGAAGCCAGAGCTAACATATATTCTACTACCACTTGAGCCATGCCTCCAACCCTTTATGTCCTGGTGATTTTTAGTATAGGGTCTCACTTTTTGCACCTACCATCCTGGATCTTGAACCTTCCTATTTATGCTTCCTTTTGTAGCTGGGTTGATATGTGCACATCACCATCTCCACTCTTTTCTGTGGGAGTCTCATGAACTTAAAAAAAAAATCTTATTTTATTGTTATTATAGAGGTGATGTACAGAGGGAGTACAATTACACTCACGACTTTTCTTGTCCAGGCTAGCCTGGAATGGTGAGCTTTACAATCTCAGCTGGCTGAGACTGCACATGCAACCACAACTACTAATTGAGATGGTGTCTTGTATTTTTGTGTGCTGGAACTCAGGGCCATCTTGAACTCTTTCACTTGACTTTCTCACTTATGGTTGACATTCTTCCCTTTGAACCATGACTCCAATCAGGCATTTTGCTATTTTGCTAATTAACTGGAGACAGTCTTATATACTTTTCTGCCCAGATCCTTAGGCATGAGCCACCCGTAAATGGCTCTTGTGAACTTTTTGTTGGACTGGCCTCAAACTTTTTTTATTGGGGGGGGGGGGGGTGGCCCATCATGGGGCTTGAAATCTGGGCCTGGGCACTGTCCCTCAGTTCTGCAGCTCAAGGCTAGTGCTCTACCACTTGAGCCACAGTACCACTTCCAGTTTTCTGGTGGGTTTTGGAGATAAGAGTCTCATGGACATTCCTGCCCAGGGTGGCTTTGAACCGCGATTCTCAGATCTCAGACTCTTGAGTAGCTAGAATTACAAGCATGAGCTACTGGTGCCTAGCTTTGGTGAAGTTTTTTTTTTTTTTTTTTTTAAATTTTATTTTATTTGTGAACATAGTGTACAGAGGGGTTACAATTACATGGGCAAGATAATGCATACATTTCTTACCAAGCATTGCAGCCTCCTCCTTTGTTTACCCTTCACCTCCCTTCCCAGCCCCCCCCCCCCACATTGTAAAGCTCCTTTTTGACACGACAATTTGTACTTCTCATTGTTGCAACAGGTCCACCTGAATCCTTAAATGACTTGTTTTTCCCCATCTCCTCCATAAGTTATACTGACATCAAATATATTGAAAGCAGGGGTTATACTGTGGGGGAGGGACATACAAAGCAACAAAGAAATAAAGTTATAAATGCATTAGAAACACATGCATGAAAGAAAAAAAAACCATTAAAATACCTATCTAAGGATTCATTTTCCTAACATCACATTATCTGACTTTTTCCACTTGACTCATACATATACTAGATATTGCAAATAAGGGAAACCATGGGTTTGGTGAAGTTTTTATTGACACATTTTTTTCCTTCTTTCTTGTTTACCTTTATTAATGTAGGCTTGGGTATTTATTTTATTCTTTGCATTATAATCAAACACTATTATTTATTTTGTTGCTCTAATTGCTTCATTGTAGCCATTGGGAGACCTCCAGGATAAGTTCTGAATTCTTTTGTAACTGACTTTTGAATTACGGGATATTTAACACATTAATAAATAAGATATAAAACAAACCCATTATACCAAATGGACAACATTGTCACAGAACAAATCACTTCAAATATTTCTGATCTTGTCTCATCCTTTGTGAGACATACTTCAAGGAGAAAAAGATGTGCAAAGAAATTTTAAATGTTTCCACTCGAAGTATCAATTTCATAATTTCAAAATAATTTCTTATATTTTGTATACTGTGGAATAGTTCTATAGCCCTGTTCCTTACTACTTTTCAGTTTTTCTTTGTAAGACCCTAAAGTTATAGAAGTTCTTATCAGTAGCTATGTGGTCACTATGAAAATGACTGATTTATGCATTCTTCAATGACAAGTGCTCTGTAAATAAGTAGCACACCAAGGCATTTTAGCAACATCTTTCATAAGCAATATATTTAAAATATATTGTACAGGGCTGGGAAGGTGGCTCAGTGGTAGAGCGCTTGCCTTGCATGCATGAGGCCTGTTGCAACAATGAGAAGTACAAAAGAAAAAAGCCAGAAGTGGCACTGTGGCTCAAGTGGTAGAGTGCTAGCCTTGAGCTGAAGAGCTGAGGGACAGCGCCCAGGCCCAGAGTTCAGGCCCCACGACTGAACCAAAAAAAAAAAAAAAAAAAAAAAAAAAAAAAAAAAAAAATATATATATATATATATATATAGTACATAACCAAAGATGGATGCATCTGCAACATTTAGATTATACAAACCAGTGTAACTAAAAAGTAGTAAAAGTCATTACACAATTTTCTTATCCAACAAAGATGGTGCCTGTTTATAATGGTACAAATTGGCTACTTACTAAACTTCATTTAGTCACTTTCATTAATAAGACCATAGTTTAGAAAACAGCCTATGGCATTGCTGAATATCGATAGTAGTGTTCAAATAATTTTTGTACTCTTTCTTTCTGTTTTTTTTTTTTTTTTTTTTTTTTCCGTGATTAATTAAGGGATAAGAGACTCACAGACTTTTCTGCTTGGGTTGGCTTTGAACACAATCCTTAGGTATCAGCCTCCTGGGTGGCTAGGATTACAGGGTGAGCCATAGGTACCCAGCCAAGCTACTTTTTCTTATTCTCACAATTTACCTTGGAGAATTTGGAGCCAGTGGAGCCACAGAGACATGAAACAACCTGTTACAGTTAGCAAATGACAGAGCCATGGTTTGTCTTACTTTAGTATAAGACATTCCCTTCCTCAACATAGATACTTTGTTTCTACAGAGAGTATATACTAGAACCATTTTTTTTTGTTGTTATTATTTAGATTTTTAGTTGGGTTGAACTCAGGGTCTAGGCCCTGTCCCTGGTCCCTTTTGCTCAAGGATACCACTCTAGCCCTTTGAGCCACAGCTCTATTTCCGTTTTTTTTTTTAAATTTTTTTTTGGGTCTGGTTGTGGGGCCTGAACTCTGGGCCTGGGCCCTGTCCTTCAGCTCTTCAGCTCAAGCACCACTTCTGGCTTTTTTTCTTTTTGCTTATGTAGTGCTGAGGAATTGAACCCAGGGACTCAGGCATGCAAGGCAAGTGCTCTACCACTGAGCCACCTTCCCAGCCCCTCTATTTCTGGTTTTTGAGTGTTTATTGGAGATGAGTCTCCTGGAGGACTTTTCTGCCCCGGCTGGTTTTGAACAGTGGTCCTCAGATCTCAGCCTCCTCAGTAGCTATGATTATGTGTGAGCCCTCCAGCACCTGGCTAGAACCATTTCTTCAAAACAAGTCTTCCTCATCTCAAACAAGTACAACTGAGTTTTTCTTTTCTTTTTTTTTTTTTTTGTTGGTAGTAGGGCTGGAACTTTGGACAACTGAGTTTTTGTACATTTAACCATTCCTAGTAAATTTTTACTTCGTCAGTTTTTGCCTATTATATTACCCTTTAAGGATACTGGGACTAGTGGTATAGTTCTATGGTGGGAACTTAGCTTAAATCCTCAGGGTGAATGTTTGGTTCAGTAATTTGAAAGGCTACAAACCCACCTAAATACATCTTACCTAATATACACTTAGTTATTTTGTCTACTATGATAGAGCAATTATGTTTAGTATCCTGAGGAAATAAAAATGAACAACAGTCTCCCACTTGCCACCAGTGGAATAAACTTGTTACAAAAGGAAACCCAACTTGAGAGAAAACAAGAAAGTTCTTTTTTCTTTTATACACTTAATGAATTCGCTGCTTTCAAACACTGTCTCCTGAAATGAACTAGATCATTTTATAGGTCAAGACTCTGACCAGCTATTTTCAATTTTAGAAATGGTATTTAAAAATTTAAAGCCTCCACGCCCAGGCCCAGAGTTAAAGCCCTAGGACAAAAAAAAAAATTAAAGCCTCATCAACAATGAGAATGTTATATGTGATGTTACATGTAACTTTCAAATGTTACATGTGACTTGTGCAAGAATCAAATAGTATAATACTCTGAAAACTTGAAGAATACATCACATCAAAACGAGTCAAGAGGGAAAAACCCTAAAACTAGACATAAATATTCATCCTGTGAAGAATAAGTCTTGAGTAATTACTAGTTACAGTCTAGATACTTTAGCAAATGAAACATCTTCGTAATACCAACCATTTTAAGCAAAATGTTTATCAATACTAACACAGTTGAAACGTCGGAAACGTGTTTTAGGTGGTGGGGGATGGGAAGCCCTGCGCTTTCATAGCAAGATCATTCATCAAAACCTAAGGCGCGAGCCCTGCCCTCACAAGTTTGCATTAGGAACGGGAAGCCCAGCCGGAAGTAACGGAGAGGTTCCTTACCTGGAGCCGTTTAATTGGCGAGCAGCACACGTTTAGGGTGCGTTGCCGAGCGTACATTGCACAGATGACAGGTCCAGGGTTTTTAGATAAACCTCTAGACCTACTCCTCAACTTCCTAAACAGCAATTCTTTAGGTAGCAGGCCAGATCGACCCCTCAGGAGAGGCGGGTAGGTGAGGGTGTCCCTTTCCCTCCTCCGCAGTCCCGCCCTTGTGACTCCCCGGTACCCCAGGGTAGGGAATTACCTCTCTTCCCCGCGTCTCCCCCCCCCCCCCCGCCCCCGACCAACAGCGGGACAGACCCGCCACGACCGGACTGAGAAGGGAGGCTGGGCGGGGGTGTAAGCCCCCTTCCCTGCTTCCCACCTGCCGGACCCAGGGGTGCGCCGGGCCCCTCTGATCCTCCCGGAGCACCCCGGCAGCCCCGAGACGCCCGCTAACTTGAACGTGCATCCGGGGCTAGCGGAGGGGAGTGGGATCCGGGGAGCCGGCCTCTGCCCGCCGGCGGCCGTGGTCGTCCATACCCTGATCAGACCTCCAGGCACGTGAGAGGGGCAGCAGGCCCTCCGTCGGTCACTCACCCCTCGCCTCAGGAGCCCCTCAGCGACGACTCTCCTTGCTGACGGCGGCCATCTTGGATGCGGAATGTCGGGGAACTTCCGTCACCACCCTGCGTCTGGTGACGACAAAAAAAGCGACCGCGGGGGCGGTGAGCTTCAGGCTCCCTGCCAACCAATCAGAAGAAAGTAGAGCTTCCAGAAAAGGAACGAGCCCGCCGGACTCCGCCCCTCCCACCCCGCGGGCCTGTGGCGGCTGCGTGCTGGGGGCCGGGGCTAGGCCGAGGGTTCCGCCCATCTTCCCCGCCCCCCCCACACGAAAGGGAGCTCGGGAGCAACCGAACCTGTTAACGGAACTTGGGGCGGGGGTGGGGCCAAAGGCATCTGTTATCCAATCAGAGTCCGGGCGTGGGTGAAATACAGCCAATTGCGTCCTTGGGGCTGGCAGCGGTTCGGCCGGCAGCAGTCGCCCCCCGAGCCATCCGCCCAATGGCTGAGCGGAATCCGAGCGGAACGGCGCCTGGGTGGTGGGGCGGGGCCGCGCCCAGGCGTGCGAGGCGCGGGCCAATGAGCGGTGGTGGCGGTGGCCCGGGGGCGGGGTCCGGGGGCGGGCGGAGCCGGGTTGGGCCGTGGTGGCGGGGCCGTCTCAGGCCGCCGTCCCGCCCCTCCCGTCCGGCCGCCGCCGCCGCCGCTACCGCCACCGCCGCCTGGGGGGTTGGTTGAGGCGGACGGTGGGGTCCGGGCCGGAGTGTGGCGCCGCCGTTGCGAGGAGGAGAAGCGGGCAGGTGAGTGCTGGTGGCAGCCCCCCGCGCGCGGCCCGTGGGCTGAGGGGACAGTTGCGCCGCCGCCCCCCACGCTGAGAGGCCGCCCCTCGTCCGTCCGGCCGCGCCGAGGTCCGGCTGGAGTTCGGGCTGGCCATTCTGGGCCTGAGGCGCGGCGGGCGGGTGTGCGCGCGGGGCCGGGGCGCGGCGGGGCCCGGGGGTCGGTGGGCCCGCTCGGCCTGTGCCCTGACGGCCCTATGGGGACTTGGGCACGCGCCCTCCGACGTTGCCTTCCGAGCCTCCCGGGTTCCTGGGTGCTGGCAGGTGTCGGGAGCGTCTCCCCGCGCCCACCCCTCGCCCTGGCCCAGGCTCGGGCCCGAGCGCGGGCCCTGGGCGCAGCCCTCGGGTGGGGCCCGGGCCCCTGGCGCGCGCAGGTCGCCGGGCTCTGCCTGCGGCCGGGTCGCGCTCATTTCCTTCCTCCCTCCCTCCTCCGATCGCTCAGCCGCCCGGGGCGGAGGAGGTCGCCGTGGTTTGCTGGTTCCTGCGTCTCCAAAGCTCAGGTGTTCACCGGGATGCCCGGGGACAGGTTCCTGCTTCTCTCCAGTCACCGGTCAGTTAGAAAAACAATCACAGAAAATAGGTCATGGTCCACACACGCAGCGCCCTACTAGGGAGAAGAATTCCGTGCTTTAAGAGTTTGCCGTTAGGGTATTAAACTCTTCCTCCTCCTCGTGGCTCCAGCCTGGCGATGCAACTCTGCCTTTTCCCCCTGTTTCCACTGGGTGTGTGTGTGGGGGGGGGGGGGAAGGATCCGATTAGTGACGTGTGCCACTTGCTGCGGGGGCCTCGCCCCCGCCGCGTGGTGTGGTGTTGAGAGGGGCACGTTGGAGTGTGTTTAAGAAGTAGTCACGCGTTAGGGACGGGGGAGGGGGACACCCTGTTTTCCTTTTCTGATGCAAAGAAGTGATGTTTCAAAAGCAAAAAATGCCTTAAAAGTACGTTGGCAGGTTGATTTTGCTTTTCCATAGCCTCGGAAGAATTAACCCTTTAGGTGGCTTCCGGTAATGACTGTCAGAACTTACAGAACTGGACACTGTCATTTTTACCTTATGTAGAGCATAACTTATTGCTCGCTCTCTCTCTTTTTTGGGGGGGTCACAAAACTGACCTTATAGATATTTAAAAATCTAACTAAACAGTCACCCTTTGGGATGCATTTTAAAATGAATATACCTCAGCAAAATAGAAAGTAAAATAACTAAATAGAAGCAGCGCTGCTCTCCACTGTTAAACTTTGCCAAGACTCAGCTTGAACCATGATATGCTGTCTCAGCGGGCTACTGTGTACAGACTTCTGCCTTAGCAAATCAGTCTCTGGGCCTATGGTGATTGATATTTTGGTAAAATTCCAACTATTGGGGAAGTTTTCTCTGGTTTAAGTTTGCAAAGTCGTCCTAGAGAATAGCTTCTTTACTGGGTGGGACTCCAAACCACCTTTGCCTTCTTTTCCTTTCCTGTCTGGCCTTATTCTGTTTATTTAATATTGTTAATTAGTATCTGAAATGTAACTCTAGTCTAGTTAAGGGGAAACACACATGGTTGCTGCTTCTTGTCCCTCTTCCCAGGATCCATGTTATTTTCTTGGAATAGAATGATGTTGGACTTGAAGATTGAAGCGTTTATGCCTGTACATGCTGAAGCAATAAGAGTTTCTGTTGATTTTGTTCATTCCCTATGAGAGCTCAACAAGATCGCCTCCAAAAAAGTAATGATATGGAGTGTCTTTTCCACGTCATGAGCATTTAGACCAAATTTTAGCGATCAAATTTTTGCTTTAGCAGGCACTAGGTAAGCCAGGTGCTGGTGGTTGGCGCTTGTAAGTTCCAGCTAATCAGTAGGCTGAGCTCTGAGGGTTGGATGGTCTGAAGCTGCTGGAACAGTCCACTTAGCCACTGAAAAGCCCGGAGTGGAGCTGTGGTTCAAAGCCGGGAGCCCTTAGCCTTGAGTGAAATACCTAAGAAACAGCACCCCAGGCCCTGAGTTCAAGCCCTGATAGTAGCACAAAAGGGTGGGGGGGGGGGGGAGGGAAAGGGCAGAGGGAGGAGAGAAAGTTAAAGTTATTGGGTAATGAGAAAATATGAAAGTTGTATATATATATATATATATATATATATATATATACACACACACACATATATATATATCTGTTCTAAAGTTCATTTACTGGATAGCTGTTTTTGTTTCTCTGATGAATAGTCACCCTTCCTCCTGCAATTTCCACTATCACGACCTACAAGATAACATTACTAGGCAAAGTATCAACATTAACACAACAGAACCTTGATTTAGTAAACATTTAGTAGATAGTCTTCCTTCTATATATAAAATGATGTAATATATGCATGTAATTTACATATATCCTTTCTTAAACTTTGGGTCATTTTAAATACTTTAATACTGAATACAGTGTCATAGCTATGTAAATAATTGTTAGAAGTTACAGTTGTCATAGTAGTTATTAGGCAGTCATGACCCAAAACAATACCTGTTCACATTTTGTGCAGATGAATCCTACTCCCCAAATGTTCCCCATCTACAGTTGATTGAATCTGGATATCGACCTCAAATAAGGGGGTGTGGCGAGCATCACAGTGTCTGTGCTCTGTGGAAATTTTAGTAAAAATAGGGGCCCCTCCCGTATGTCAGTTTAGTTTGAGGCTAAGGCTCTTAAATATTTTAATTATGCAGTTTCCTTTTCCATTTACCCACTGAAGTAACTGTTCAAATGTAACTAATAACACTGTATCTTTGTTGCCTACAGTCCAGTGAATGTATTCCCAGCAGAAGGGTCTGTATCTTTAGAAACTGGTTGCCTGATCCTGGCTGCAGTTCCTGATGCTTCAGTTGGGGGTGGGGAGCAAGTTCCTAGTAAGTGTCTTTCCTCCCTTGGACCAAAATTCTGGGAATAGAGCCATGATTGTGTTGCCTCCAAAAGTGGAAGGAGTCATTTTTTACTGTGGCACTAAGTATTTTTAATGTAACAGGGAATATCTCTTTATTCTCATGTTGCTTTCAAAGTACTGCTGGCCAGTTATTTGCTTTCTTTTTTTTTTTTTTTGGTCTGGTTGTGGGGCCTGAACTCGGCTTGGGTGCTGTCCCTCAGCTCTTCAGCTCAGGGCGAGTGCTCTACCACTTGAGCCACAGTGCCACTTCTGGCCTTTTTTTTTCCTGCTTATGTGGTGCTGAGGAATGGAACCCAGGGCTTCATGCATGCAAGGCAATTGCTCTACCACTGAGCCACCTTTCCAGCCCCAGTTATTTGCTTTCTTAATTACTAATTTTCATCATTATATTTGGGCTTTTTTTTTGGTCGGTGGTGGGGCTTGAACTCTGGGCTTGGTCGCTGTCCCTGCTGCACTCTTTAGCTCAAGGCGAGCGCTCTACCACTTGAGCTACAGTGTCACTTCTGGTTTTCTAGTGGTTTATTGGAGTCTCATGGACTTTTCTGCCTGGGCTGACTTTGAACCGGGATCCTCAGTTCTCAGCCTCCTGAGTAGCTAGGATTACAGGTGTGGGCCACCGGCACCCAGCTTATTATTATTATTTTTTTTTAGTGATGAATAGTTTGATTTACTGTGCATCTTTTTTCTCTTGATACAGTCAGAAGTGTTTATCTTTGCTCTCAGTTCATTTAGGTTCATATTTAGCCAGTTAAGAGAACTAAACTTAGAATTCCTTGCTTTTCAAGCTTTGTACAGTTTTCACTTTTGTTGCATTTACAGTTGTACTTTATTTGGCAAAATGGATGTATGTACATTGGATTTCCTCTTATGCTTTCATTTTCTTACTCAAAAATTATACATCTTAGTGAATGAATGAATGAATTTGGCAGTACTGGGGTTTGAATGTAGGGCCTCATACTTGCTAGGTATATACTTTTCCATTTGAATCTCATGCCCAGCCGTCTTTGGTTTTTAGTTATTTTTCCTAAAGAGGGTTCTCTCATTTTTGCCTGGAGCCATCTTTGGACCATGATCTTCTTTCTTACGTTTCCTGTGGATGGATGTCATCATGTCTGCCCAACTTGTTAGTGAAGTTAGGGATCTTGCACAGTTTTTACCTGGGCTGGCCTCAAATCCAGACCCCTCCCACTACATCCTCTCAATTTCTATCTTTTGAGTAGCTGGGATTAAGCATGGGCCACTGTGCCCTGAATTATTTGTATTTTTACTGTGTTAGTTGTGTGAAAAAGAATTAGCAGAATCTATAATGTTAGAAGTTTTTTGTTGTTGTTGTTGTTGTTGGTTGTGGGGGCTGAACTCTGGGACTGGGCGCTGTTCCTCAGCTCTTCAGCTCAAGGCTAGCACCCTGTCACTTGAGCCACAGTGCCACTTCTGGCTTTTTTCTGCTTATGTGTTTGTTGAGGAATCGAACCCAGGGCCTAATGCATAAGAAGCAAGCACTCTACCACTGACCCAACTTCCTAGCCCAGAAATCTTGGTTTTTGTGTTAAATTCAAACAGTAACTTGAGCCATAATTAGTGGTATAAACCCCATTTCCATCTGGGAGTCTTCTTCAAGTTTTATTCATAACAGAACGTAGCTGGGCACCTGTAATCCTAGCTGCTCAGGAGGCGAGATCTGAGGATTGAGGTTCAAAGCCAGCCCAGGCAGGAAAGTCTGTGAGACTCTTATCTCCAATTAACCACCAAAAAACCACAAGTGGTGCTATGGCTCAAGTGGTAGAGTGAGCTGAAGAACTGAGGGACAATACCGAAGCCCAGAGTTCAAGCCCCAAAATTGACCAAAAAAAAAAAAAAAAGAAAGAAATAACAAAACATAAGAAGTATAAGCATAGGCGTTGATAGTTTTCAAGTGAAAAAAAAAGAACGAAAAATGATTCCAAATTTTATATATGTATATATATATATATATATATAAAATTTAAATGTCGACGTTTAGATTTTGAAATTTTCCTTGTTTTTCTTTTTCTTTCTTATTTCAAGTACTTTCCCAGAGTAAAC